TGTAAAATAGGTCAATTGACGGCACACGACTATCTGTGGTCGAAATGTTCGGTAAAACGTTCGGTATATGAACTAGCTGGGTAAAGACTGTTTGTCTTAGTTCGTATACCGTTTTAGGTGAATGGAATTACAATTAAAAGTTCAGGATGGCAACAAAATATAAATCCAGCGAACAGGGCATCTGTTAGACCACTGTACAGCATGCTAGGAGAACCCACTGTACAACACCTTAGGAGAACCCACTGTACGGCTCACTAGGAGAACCCACTGTACAGCTCACTTGGAGAACCTACTGTACAGCTCACTTGGAGAAGCCACTGTACAGCCTGTTAGGAGAACTCACTGTATATCTCACTAGGAGAACCCACTGTACAGCTCGCTAGGGTAACCCACTAAACAGCTCACTAGGAGAACCACTAGGAGAACCCATTGTACAGCTCACTAGGAGAACCCACTGTACAGCCTGCTAGGAGAACCCACTGTATGGCTCACTAAGGAAACCCACTGTACAGCCTGCTAGGAGAACCCACTGTACAGCTCGCTAAGGAAACCCACTGTACAGCCTGCTAGGAGAACCCACTGTACGGCTCGCTAAGGAAACCCACTGTACAGCCTGCTAGGAGAACCCACTGTACGGCTCGCTAAGGAAACCCACTGTACAGCCTGCTAGGAGAACCCACTGTACGGCTCGCTAAGGAAACCCACTGTACAGCCTGCTAGGAGAACCCACTGTACGGCTCGCTAAGGAAACCCACTGTACAGCCTGCTAGGAGAACCCACTGTACGGCTCGCTAAGGAAACCCACTGTACAGCCTGCTAGGAGAACCCACTGTACGGCTCGCTAAGGAAACCCACTGTACAGCCTGCTAGGAGAACCCACTGCCATTCACTGTTTGTCCTCCTGTAGTGAGTGATGACTTGTGGCTTCCGCAGAGCTGCAGAAAGTCAATCCTGCTGGCTATTTGTTGGCTGAGACATTCAGCGGAGCGCTGGCTATGATATTCCTATGACTCTGCAAGAGGTGGGGTTACACTTCCAGCAGCTAAGTGGTTAAACTCTGTATGCACAGCATTTCAAAGTGAAACACCGGGCACACAGACCGCAGGCAACATGACTAATTTCCAGGATTCACTCCCAGCCTCCTCTCCTGAACTCCTCTCCCAGCCTCCTCTCCCAGCCTCCTCTCCCAGCCTCCTCTCCCAGCCTCCACACTTTCTATTGTTAATAAACATGGCTTCCATGTAGTATTGGGACATTGCAGTAGCTGCCTCCTCCATGTTGGCATACCGATACCGTTATTCCCGATTCTAGCAAGAGAGAGTCCTGACTTTCAGCGCCCCCCAGCCATTCAGTTTTTTTCTCTGGCGTGTCTCCAGACCCCGGACAGAGAAATGTGCAGTGCGAGCGTGTGTTTAAATACTTGCCCCTCGACCCCCATATGCCCTGGCTGCATGTTGTTGATGAATGTAAATAAGCATTGTACGCTCCTTGTCTCGGCATTCCGCTTCCATCGATTTAATGCTGTTTTCATACTGTGCTGCGTCGGTGCCCAGCCTGTGGTTGCTATATTACAAAATGCCACCTCAGGTTGATTTAGATGGAAACACTTTCTTGTGGTTATCTAAGGGAAACATGGCTTGCTCAGTCTGGAAATATTATCCGTGTAGGGATTGTGTTTTAAACGTGTGGTATCCGACTGGGCACCATTCTCAGACGTTTTATTGGTGGGATAACACTTACAAACAAGCGAAACTGCGTCTGTGTGTCTTGGATGCATGACGGCGTAAGTACAATGGGAAGTTTTCAATGTAACATTATACAGAAAGATCACGCATGTTCCAGAGACAGCATAATAAACAAAACTAAAGGCCACATCGTGTATGGCAATAATTTTCCATAATACACACCTTGCATTATTTATACTTTTATTTACAATTATGGGTAGGGTTAGTGTTAGAGTATAGTTAGGGTATGGTTACGGTGTGGTTAGTGTTATGGTTATGGTCAGTGCTAGTGTAGGGTGAGAGTTTGATAAGGGTAGGGTCAGTGACATGGTATAGTTAGGATAGGGATTGATATGGTTAGAGTTAGAGCTATGGTTAGAGCTATGGTTGGGGCTATAGTTAGTACTAGGGTAGGGTGAATATTTGATTAGAGTAGGGTTAGTGATATGGCATAGTTAGGGTAGGTATTGGTTTGGCTAGAGTATGGTTAATGGTTATGGTCTGTGTTTGATTTGGGTGAGAGTTTGATTAGGGTAAGGTTAGTTGTACGGTATAGTTAGGGTAGCGATTGGTTTGGTAAGGATAAGTGAAAGGGTAGGGTTAGGATTACGGATAGGATAGGTTTATGGCTAGTCCTGGGGGATTATTAGGGTTAGTACTAGGGTAAATTAAGGGTAGGATTAGGGATTGGGTAGGTTAGAGTTAGTGGTATAGTTAGGGTAGCGACAGGGTATGGTTAGGACTAGTCCTAGAATATGGTTTGAGTAGGGCTAGAATATAGTTAGAGTAGGGTTAGAATTAGTACTAGGATACGGTTAGAGTAGGGTTAGAACTAGTACTAGGATACGGTTAGAGCAGGGTTAGAATTAGTACTAGGATACTGTTAGAGTAGGGTTAGAATTTTTCCTAGGATCCTGTTAGAGTAGGGTTAGAATTAGTACTAGGATCCTGTTAGAGTAGGGTTAGAATTTGTCCTAGGATCCTGTTAGAGCAGGGTTAGAATTAGTACTAGGATACTGTTAGAGTAGCGTTAGAATTAGTACTAGGATACGGTTAGAGCAGAGTTAGAATTAGTAATAGGATACTGTTAGAGTAGGGTTAGAATTAGTACTAGGATCCTGTTAGAGTAGGGTTAGAATTAGTACTAGGATACGGTTAGAGCAGGGTTAGAATTAGTACTAGGATCCTGTTAGAGTAGCGTTAGAATTAGGACTAGGATACGGTTAGAGCAGGGCTAGAATTAGTACTAGGATACGGTTAGAGCAGGGTTAGAATTAGTACTAGGATACGTCTAGAGGAGGGGTTAGAATTTGTCCTAGGATCCTGTTAGAGTAGCGCTAGAATTAGTACTAGGATAAGGTTAGAGCAGGGTTAGAATTTGTCCTAGGATCCTGTTAGAGTAGCGTTAGAATTAGTACTAGGATACTGTTAGAGTAGGATTAGAATTAGTACTAGGATACGGTTAGAGCAGGGTTAGAATTAGTACTAGGATCCTGTTAGAGTAGGGTTAGAATTAGTACTAGGATACGGTTACAGTAGGGTTAGAATTAGTACTAGGATACGGTTACAGTAGGGTTAGAATTAGTACTAGGACACGGTTAGAGTAGGGTTAGAATTAGTACTAGGATACGGTTACAGTAGGGTTAGAATTAGTACTAGGATACGGTTACAGTAGGGTTAGAATTAGTACTAGGATACGGTTAGAGTAGGGTTAGTCCTAGGGTACGGTTAGGCTAGAGTTTTGCTATTTTATTTTTTAGGTCTAGGGTAGAATTAAGGCTAGAGTATGGTTAGGGTTAGTGCTTGGATACAGTTAAAGTATGGTTACACACAGAGAACACTGACACAAAGACAGTTAAACACAGAGAATACTGACACACACGGAGGACACTGACACACACATTTTCAAACAAAGGATTCTGACACACACAAAAAGAGGAAACTGACAGACACAGAGTTAAACACAGAGGACACTGACACACACACACGCTGACAGACACTTACGGACACAGACACTGACCGAGATCTTGGCGTACCCCCTGCTTTTGGCGCGTGTACCACAGGTTGGTAAACCAGGCCTCAGCTCATGCAGTAATATGAAGCATTATAGGAAAAGGATGTTATCAATGTAAAATCAGAAAACACAAGCAGTCCTGCGGCAGATTGATGTGTTCCATGCCACTGCTAACGTATGGGAACTCTAACAGTGTATTTACTAAGGTGGGAATTTAAAGTAAATTTCAAAGTTAAGGTCAGATTAGCCGAATCGAACAGAGCTTTCTTCGAGAACGTTTCAGGTAAAGCTATTTGGACCTTAGATTGGAAATTCACTTTGGATTCTAACGTTAGTAAATAGTCCTGTCTATGTTTTTACCTTTAGTGGTATATTCACCACCTGCTGACTTGTGCTGACCAGAAAACCAACGTTGGTCAATACTGGCCGCTACGAGGGACCTGTCAGTGATACAGGTCATGGCTGTAAAAGGGGAACCCCCGAAATGGCAGGTAACCGCCACGCAGACCGCCACTAAATCACTATAGCAGCCTGAAAAATGCACGTCTAATGATGCAACTGGTCTGCAGCTTGGATCACCAAAGAGAACTCTGCAATGGAAGAAAAGGTGACTGTCCTGCCAAAACTAGGACTGTTGGCAGCTATGCTTTAAGTGAAATGTTATTAATTCATAATTTATTGCCAAACATAAACAGCAAATGAAAAGAGTTTGCACATTTCTGGATTTACTAATAAATGAATAATAAATCTTCTCTTTATTTAATGAGACTTGGTGATTTCTTACAAATTCTGAGGAAATTGTGCATTACTGACAGCAAGGTACAATCCGAAGCTGCTGGGAAACGGGAAATTGCAGTTTAAATGAAACACGTGCCTGTGGCCTCGAGCAGAGGGGGCCGATTACACAAAACAAACTGTTATTCCGCAATAAACTCCGGCAGTGGAATCCTATTAACTCATCGCTATTAGAGAACGCAGGGAAGTATGACGGGAGGACGCGCAATGTTCCACTAACTGAAAGGCCAACCAAGCGTTAAGGCTGCCAATTACGGGGTCCCAATAAAGCAATAGCCATCACTGGAGACCCACAAAGAGAGAGGCTGCGTCAGCCTAACACCCAGGGTCCCAGGAGGGCAGAAACACTGCAAGTCACAAGTAATAAAAGATACCTGGAACAGCAAACCTGAAAAACGTGGTAAAGAAAACAGTAGATACACGGAATGTCCTTCCAGTGGGAGCAGTAACAGTGATATAGAAAGGGTAGTAGATACCTGGAATAGCCTTCCAGTGGGAGAAGTAACAGTGATATAGAAAGGGTAGTAGATACCAGGAATAGCCTTCCAGTGGGAGCGGTAACAGTGATATAGAAAGGGTAGTAGATACCTGGAATAGCCTTCCAGTGGGAGCAGTAACAGTGATATAGAAAGGGTAGTAGATACCAGGAATAGCCTTCCAGTGGGAGCAGTAACAGTGATATAGAAAGGGTAGTAGATACCAGGAATAGCCTTCCAGTGGGAGCAGTAACAGTGATATAGAAAGGGTAGTAGATACCTGGAATAGCCTTCCAGTGGGAGCAGTAACAGTGATATAGAAAGGGTAGTAGATACCTGGAATAGCCTTCCAGTGGGAGCAGTAACAGTGATATAGAAAGGGTAGTAGATACCCGGAATAGCCTTCCAGTGGGAGCAGTAACAGTGATATAGAAAGGGTAGTAGATACCTGGAATAGCCTTCCAGTGGGAGCAGTAACAGTGATATAGAAAGGGTAGTAGATACCTGGAATAGCCTTCCAGTGGGAGCGGTAACAGTGATAGAGAAAGGGTAGTAGATACCTGGAATAGCCTTCCAGTGGGAGCAGTAACAGTGATATAGAAAGGGTAGTAGTCTACTACCCTTTCTATATCACTGTTACTGCTCCCACTGGAAGGCTATTCAAGGTATCTACTACTAGTAGATACCTTGAATAGCCTTCCAGTGGGAGCAGTAACAGTGATATAGAAAGGGTAGTAGATACCTGGAATGTCCTTCCAGTGGGAGCAGTAACAGTGATAAAGAAAGGGTAGTAGATACCTGGAATAGCCTTCCAGCGGGAGCAGTAACAGTGATGTAGAAAGGGTAGTAGATACCTGGAATAGCCTTCCAGTGGGAGCAGTAACAGTGATGTAGAAAGGGTAGTAGATACCAGGGATAGCCTTCCAGTGGGAGCAGTAACAGTGATATAGAAAGGGTAGTAGATACCTGGAATAGCCTTCCAGTGGGAGCAGTAACAGTGATATAGAAAGGGTAGTAGATACCTGGAATAGCCTCCCAGCGGGAGCAGTAACAGTGATATAGAAAGGGTAGTAGATACCTGGAATAGCCTTCCAGTGGGAGCGGTAACAGTGATATAGAAGGGGTAGTAGATATCAGGAATAGCCTTCCAGTGGGAACAGTAACAGTGATATAGAAAGGTAGTAGATACCTGGAATAGCCTTCCAGTGGGAGCAGTAACAGTGATATAGAGAATAGCCTTCCAGTGGGAACAGTAACAGTGATATAGAAAGGTAGTAGATACCTGGAATAGCCTTCCAGTGGGAGCAGTAACAGTGATATAGAAAGGTAGTAGATACCTGGAATAGCCTTCCAGTGGAAGCAGTAACAGTGATATAGAAAGGGTAGTAGATACCTGGAATAGCCTTTCAGTGGGAACAGTAATAGTGATCTAGAAAGGGTAGTAGATACCTGGAATAGCCTTCCAGTGGGAGCAGTAACAGCGATATAGAAAGGGTAATAGATACCTGGAATAGCCAATCAGTGGGAGCAGTAACAGTGATATAGAAAGGGTAGTAGATACCTGGAATAGCCTTCAAGTGGGAACAGTAACAGTGATATAGAAAGGGCAGTAGATACCTGGAATAGCCTTCCAGTGGGAGCAGTAACAGTGATATAGAAAGGTAGTAGATACCAGGAATAGCCTTCCAGTGGGAGCAGGAACTGGGATATAGAAAGGTAGTAGATACCAGGAATGGCCTTCCAGTGGGAGCAGTAACAGTGATAAAGGAAGGGTAGTAGATACCAGGAAAAGCCTTCCAGTGGGAGCAGTAACAGTGATATAGAAAGGGTAGTATATACCAGGAATAGCCTTCCACTGGGAGTAGTAACAGTGATATAGAAAGGGTAGTATATACCAGGAATAGCCTTCCACTGGGAGTAGTAACAGTGATATAGAAAGGCTAGTAGATACATGGAATGGCCTTCCAGTGGGAGCAGTAACAGCGATATAGAAAGGGTAGTAGATACATGGAATAGCCTTCCAGTGGGAGCAGTAACAGCGATATAGAAAGGGTAGTAGATACCAGGAATGGCCTTCCAGTGGGAGTAGTATCAGTGATATAGAAAGGGTAGTAGATACCAGGAATGGCCTTCCAGTGGGAGCAGTAACAGTGATATAGAAAGGGTAGTAGATACCTGGAATGGCCTTCCAGTGGGAGCAGTAACTGGGATATAGAAAGGGTGGTAGATACCTGGAATGGCCTTCCAGTGGGAGCAGTAACTGGGATATAGAAAGGGTAGTAGATACCAGGAATGGCCTTCCAGTGGGAGTGGTATCAGTGATATAGAAAGGGTAGTAGATACCTGGAATGGCCTTCCAGTGGGAGTGGTATCAGTGATATAGAAAGGGTAGTAGATACCTGGAATGGCCTTCCAATGGGAGCAGTAACTGGGATATAGAAAGGGTAGTAGATACCAGGAATGGCCTTCCAGTGGGAGTGGTATCAGTGATATAGAAAGGGTAGTAGATACCTGGAATGGCCTTCCAGTGGGAGCAGTAACTGGGATATAGAAAGGGTGGTAGATACCTGGAATAGCCTTCCAGTTGAAGCAGTAACTGGGATATAGAAAGGGTAGTAGATACCAGGAATGGCCTTCCAGTGGGAGTGGTATCAGTGATATAGAAAGGGTAGTAGATACCTGGAATGGCCTTCCAGTGGGAGCAGTAACTGGGATATAGAAAGGGTGGTAGATACCTGGAATAGCCTTCCAGTTGAAGCAGGAAAGACTAACACAATAAAGAAACTGAAATTGCTTGGAATACACCCGAGAAACTTGGAGAAAATAAAAAGCATGCAGACTAATTTCGAGATTTCTTCATGGATTGGAGGATCGGATAACTGTATGTGATTTGCCCTAACAATTCACATTTTCTTTTTCTATGGTGTCCATGTAAAAGGTGCAATTTTGGGGAAATATTCTAATAGTGTGTTTCGCCTAACAGTCCCAGGACCAGCCAGCACACTGTCAGCATTGTCAATGTAGACAGATTGTACGTGAGAATCGCTGCATTTAAAATGTCATTGTCTCGAATGACGAACGCCGTATGAGATAAAATACTGCTGTGTCCGTACAGGAGCGGCTTCACGAAAAGCACAGCTGTGTGAAGAAAAGAGGCCATTAGGCTGGGACAGACCCTGCATGATGGGAGCTGGAGTCTGCACGCTGGTTACAGAGCTCCAGGCAGTCCATTAACAGGTTCTTCGCTGAACTCTGATTTGTAGGAAAAGTCAGGCTAAAACAGCCAAGCTGAGACGAAAGTAGAGTTTTTCCAAATCAGCTTTTAGCCTAAATTGTGCCATTCAGCGTGAAATTCACTAGCTGTAAAACATATAAAATGGAGAATATTATCTTTATTCCATGTAAGTATTGAGGGGTGGCATGCCCAGAGCAGGGCTGGCAGAGATTAGCCTGATTGGGAAACAGACACAGGGTAGCCCAGAGCGGTAGCCCACACAGATATAGGAGAAGGTGAGTGATATATGACCCGTCTTGTGCTCTGGGAAAGAAGTGAATTAAGACGAAGTATGGGAAGAGGGGAAGGAGGAGGTGGTACCTGGAGAGGAGACTTATTTGGCAAGATTAATGGAAAATAAAAAGTGCACAGAATCAAAAAATCTCTTTAAGAGCAGTGGATGGGGAGCTGCCAAAAATAACGAATTTGTATTATTGAGATCAGTGAGAGAGCACAAGACAGACGGGGAGGGGGAAGGATATTGTACAGGAAGGACTGAACCCACTCTGCGCTCATACATGTCTGGAGAGTCTGTCCGCCATATTTACAGCCATTTCCATACGACGTGCACTACCCAGCACAAAAACAATTTATAAAAATGAACTGTCTAATACAGTGAAATATTATTAATATTTATTGCTAAACGAAGTGAACAGACACCACACAGCTTTCACTATACTTTGTTTAATTTGTAAGCGAGCTACTAAAACGTATAACTGTCAGCAAAAATCTCCTTTACCCAGTGAGCAACAAAACTATTTTAATGTGTTTGGCATTTATGGAGCAGAGCGATGTTACCAGTCTATGTATATGGCCGTCTCCTGTCTGCCCTGCTGGGGTTAATTAATCAATTCATCATTAAAAGGAATTTCCGTACTAATGTGTGCACAGTTTTATGTTTCAGTACTGAATATCTGTGATATCTTTGGATCTTTTTAAATTCTTTTATCCGAATAATTTTAGAACCATTTCATAATAAAACAAATGGTTTCATTATGGGGGGCTGGACAGGTAAACGTTATATTGGGGGTTACACGCCATGATTCTTAATGCATTAGTCAAAGTTTGTGTCCATTCATTTTCTCCTGGAATCTCAAAATACTAAGACGTCAGAAAGGTATTTGCTGACATGAAGTTGTGAAGATAAAATATTGTAACTTTGAATGGGCCAAACCATAGCGATATCCAGGAATTTAGCGTAATAGCTATTTTGGCTCCTGCGATAGATCCATTTTTCAAATCTTCTTTCTTTCGGATCAGGTGGTTTCGGGCGCAAATGAAACTTCTGAAAGTTAAGGCAATACAGAAGTTCTCAAACTGCTAGAACACTCAGTTTGCTAATGATACTATGTTACCAAAAGGAGACACTTTTAAAGTAGTGTTTTTGATTTTTTTTCCCGTTTTTTTCTAGAATATACCATCCTACCTTATCTATGAATTGACTGATTACCGATATCATCTTTGTGCCCTGAATAAAGACAGATATAATAAGACCTGCATGCTATTCACTAAGATCCAATTAACTGAACTGGAATAATTGTCAGCTATGTTTTCACCTCCGCTACTTTGGCCTTAAATTCGAAATTCACTTTGAATTCCCACGTTAGTGAATAGTGCTGTCTCTCTGCTTATGTTTTTATTACTACTGTAACATTATTTTTGGAACGTGGGTGACTCTACAACTAGTCTTGTCTAAACAAATTGGGAGTGATAGTAGATCTGGTGCGTTCATGTGGCTGCATTTATTCCCAGATTTCACTAAAACGAGGCATTTAGCTGAACATGCTGTGGTTATATGTCGAGATATCTCTATACTTCATGCCGGTACTGGTAGCTTAGAATGGACCACCATCATTTTCCTGCCAGTTCTGCCAGATTGTGGTTGTGGCCAAGCTTGTTTTTGAGTGGGATCTCCCCGATTCCTCGCGTCTTGATGTAGCTGATGTCAGCAAGCAGATAATAGAATCAACGTTTCATTATGTCCAGGATCCCTGTTGCACATTCTCCCCGATACAGTAACGTCATATCCTTTTTTTTTTTTGTAAATATCTTTTTATTAAGATTTTGATTCAAGAATATGAAGGAAACACGCAGGTTTCAGCACATTGCTGAGTAAAGTGGTTTTCGAGATACGCAGATCTCACGTCAAGTAACAAGTAGGAGTTGTTTGACATGACAACAAAGCATACAAGTGCATAATAAGGAAACATCCATTTCTATTATAAGTTACTAGCATCCCATATTTTGCTACATCTGACTTTTGGAGTCATGTGTCGACTCTGGGGTCATCCAGTCTAGACCTAATGGTGTCGGTGTTGCACAGAATAGGGTAGCGACCACTGGGTCGGGTCTTCCATCTAGGTATCTATCGGTATTCGTTGTGTATAATTGTCCCTGAGTTACCTCCAAGTACCTACAGGGCATTGGCCTTTTTCAGCCATGGCAAAATGTCTTAAATTCTGCGTCTGTGTGACTCAACGTCAGACTCAACGTCTGTGTGTGTTGTGCTCTCGTCCCCTATTTGCTGTGGTCTAGTATATCAGGATGCTGTCTTTCAGTGGTAGGGGTACTTTACTCTGTGTTTCATGGAGTGGGGAAGGGAATGTGGAAAGGGTCGGTCCATGGGGAGGGTGTGGCGTGGTCCGGACTGTCCTATGTTCCCACTGTCTGCTCGTCCTCTCGATATTTGAGCCTATTTACGAACTCTGCTTTGGTAGTTGTCAGTAGCAAGTGCAACCAGATTTCTAGGTATTTGTCTG